AAAGATTAAATTTCATTAAATACGCACATATAAATATATATACATATACACATATATGTATATGATACATAACACTGTCAGTATTACCCCCCTGTTTGATATTTTAGGCTATCCCAGGTCAGATCGCTGAGTTGAGGTCAGGACAGGACGAGACCAGCCTGACTCAGGCCGCCATGAACTTCACCCTGCAGGAGCTCGAGTTCTCCTTCCAACGGGCCAACGCCACGGCCGCTCTGCAACTACAGGACATGGAACACAGGTTTGTTATGTTTACCGCAGGAAAACATATTGTTTTTACTACGTTTACGTTTCTTCTTCTTCTGTTCCAAACACTAAGCTGTGACCTGACCAATGGTCTGATTTGTTGATGTCTGTCACCATGGTAACTGGTGTTGGGTTACATCATGTTGCAATTTCATAGTAGGCATTTAGACTCCTGTCACCATATACATGTATGTGAATGTGTTTAATGTGTTTGAGTAAGAATTAACAGAGCAGACCATATCCGAAGGCAAACATTATGCATTTGCTTTGCAAATGTTACTTTTCTAGTTTATTTATTTGTTTATTTATTAATCAAAATTGAAGATGAGAAACATTTTGTAACAGAATGTAGACTATACAACAAAGAGAGAGTAGGTCTTTATAGTCTGATACAATCTATGCTCCCCTTCTTTATACATCTAAGCTGTACAGATAAATTTATATTTCTAATGAACTTAGACAAACTATCATAAAACATACCTGTTCGTACCTCTTTACCATTAGCTTCTTGAAGTGTGACATCAACACTGGGTCAAAGGTATCTGGTAGACTATGTCGGCCCCCGTCGCGGTTCATTGAAGGGTGAACAAGACTAATTTCTGAGAGGGGTGCAGGAGGCTATATACATCAGGGCCCATCACCCTTCACTGAGCCGAGACGGGGGCCGACATCGTCTACCAGATACGTTTGACCCGGCCAGTGTTGAGGAAGACCAGAGTGACTGGTCGAAAGCTCTGGGTGAGAGAATTTTTTGTGTTGGATCTAAAGTTTTAACTCTAAACATGTAACTGTATGCTAAAATGTTCTGTGCAACAAACGACAGGTTGGAGCAGCAGCGCGAGGACCTGAGCGCGCTGAAGGCCAGTCAGGCGGAGACCAGCGCGTCTGTGGAGGAGGTGTGGGCGGCCGTGAGACGCTTGGAGGCCCGCCAGGGCGACTCGGGGCCAGACGGGACGGAAGAACCAGACGGGACGGAAGACGGGACGGAAGAACCAGACGGGACGGAAGACGGGACAGAAGAACCAGTCGGGACGGAAGACGGGACGGAAGAACCAGACGGGACGGATCCGGAAGAGACAGGCGGGACGGGAGAGACAGAAGAGGGAAGCGGACCGGATGGGTTTTTGTATGAGGGAAGTCTATTTTCTGATTAGAGGCACCCTTAACTTCTTTGATCTCATAACACACAACAACTTGACCGAATTTAGATGTAAAGTTACAGACGGGACGGAA